TCTGCTCCTATGATGCTGCTTGGCCTGCTGTGTTCATCCAGCCCTGCACCTTGTTGTCTTAGAAAATATTGGGTTGTTTTCTCTTGAAGGGCAGAGGCTGAAGGGAGACTTGATAGATGTTTATAAAATTATGAGATGCATAGATAATGTTGAGGGTCAGAATTATTTTTCCAGAGTTGAAATGTCTAGTACTAGGGGACATGCATTTAATGTGAGCGGGTGAAAGTTCAAAGGAGATGTGGGGGGCAAGTTTTTTTACACAGTCATAGGAGTCTGGAAAGCACTGCGAGGGCTGGTGATGGAGGCAGATATGATAAGGGGATTTAGGGACTTTTAGATAAGCATATGAATATGCAAGGAATGGAGGGATATGGACCAAGGGCAGGCAGAAGGGATTAGTTTCATTTGGTGTCATGTTCAGCACAACATCGTGGGCTGAAGTGCCCTTTCTTGTGCTATACTGTATGTATGTTCTATCTGACTGTGAAACTTCAATTTGTGTAGATGCAATATTAGGAAACTTACTGATACTGCTTTGATGGTGAAATATTAGGGCAAGGAGCTATCATGATTTCATGACAGCAAGTAAATACCAAATAGCATCTTCAAAGATCTCTGAAAATCACAAATGGCTTTGTGGTCAATGTAGTATTTTGAAAATGTAATCACTGCTACCATGTCGGAAGTATGGCAGCCAATTTACATTTAGTAAATTTTCCTAAACAGTAATGTGGGAAGGGTTGAATAGTTTGTATTAGTGATGCTATTTAAGAAGTAAATATTGGGCAAATATGTAGGGATAAATCCTGTGCTTTACTTTAAGATTGTGTCGTAGGACTTTTTTACGTGAAGTAAGCAGGTGGGCTTCAGTTTTACATGTCCTATCAAAAATGGCAGTGCAGCATTCCCTCAGAGCTGGACTGGGGTATTGAACATAGAACCATAGAACAGAACAGTACAGCACAGGAAGAGGCCCTTTGGCCACCTTATCTATGCCAGCCATGATGCCATTCTAAACTAATCTCCTCTATCTACAGGTGGTCCACATCCCTCTATACTTTGCCTGTTTATGTGTCTGTCTAAATGCCTCTTAAACATTGCTATTGTATCTGATTCTGTCACCTCATCTGGCAGTGCATTCCAGCCACTTACAACCCTCATTGCCTCGCACATCTCCACCTTAAACCTGTGTAGCCTTGTATTTGAAATTTCCATCCTGGGAAAAAGATTCTGACTATCCACCCTATCTATGCCTCTCATAATTTTATGTACTTCTATCAGGTTGTCCCTCAGCCTCTGACCCTCTAGTGAAAACAATCCAAGTTTGACCAGAGATAGTAGGAACTGCTGATGTTGGAGAATCTGAGATAACAAGGTGTAGAGCTGGATGGACACAGCAGCCAAGCAGCATCAGAGGAGCAGGAAAGCTGACGTTTTGAGTCTAGACCCTTCTTCAGAAATGGGTTTGACCAACCTCTCTGTGTAGCTAATACACTCCAATCCAGGCAACATCCTGGTAAACATCTTTCGCACCCTCCCCAAAGCTTTAAAATCCTTCCTATAGTGTGGTGACCAGAACTGCACACAATACTCCAAATGTGGCCTAACTGAAGTTTAAACAGCTACCATATGACTCGCCAACTTTTATACTCAATGCCCTGACTTATCAAGAGAAGCATGCTGTATGCGTTCTTTACCACCTTATCCACTTGTGTTGCCACTTACAGGGAGTTTTAGACTTGCACTCCAAGATTCCTCTGTATGTCAATGCTCCTAAGAGTCCTGTCTTTTACTGTATATTTGCTTTTTGTGTTTGACCTCCCAAAATGCACCACTTAACACTTGTGCGGATTAAAGTCCACCTGCCATTTCTGCACCCAACTTTCTAACTGCCTTTGACAATCTTCTTCACTATGCACAACTCCACCAATTTTAATGTCATCTGCAAACTTACTAATCATACCGCCTATATTTTCATCCAAATCATTTATTGGCGGCATGGTGGCTCAGTAGTTAGCACTGCTGCCTCACAGCACCAGGGACCCGGGTTCGATTCCACCCTCAGGCGACTGCCTGTGTGGAGTTTGCACATTCTCTCCGTGTCTGCGTGGGTTTCCTCCCACAGTCCAAAGATGTGCAGGCTAGGTGGATTGACCATGCTAAATTGCCCATAGTATACAGGG